GATCAGTACTCAGGATTCTGGATAGTTTGGTTCAGATAAAACATAAGCTAAAACTGGGATAATAAGCCTATATGATCTTCCACAGCAGAAAAACATGTTTATTGTCGAACATGTGGACCGAGCACAGAGAAACATACACAAGCATATTCTTCCACTGCAGACACTCCCATCCCACTACACTGCCAATCTCCGTCCAGGAATAAAACTCTTCAACATCATAAGTCATTCAACAGGCGTCTATAATCCACTTAAAACATGGGCAATCTTGTTTCAATGTTAGAGGTTTGAAGACAAATCTAATTACTGACCTGCTGCATGTAAATGCAGCTTTACCGTAACCTGGTTACTGCTGTACATGTGAGCATGTTCTCTGACTTCTGTCTGTAACCTAATTTATCCAGATATCCTGGTTTCCTGTTTGTATATAAACAGTCATCCTAGCACAGTACAACTGCCTTTTGTTCCCAAAGTCTGCTACAAATCCACCACATCATTTCTGTGAACAAGACAAAACAAAGAAACAAATCCTTGTCAGGCATCATTAAAAAGAAGGCACAAGACTGAGCTGTTATAGCTTAAAGGCAAGTTAAGCATAACATGGTGGCCATAATGCTAATTCTGATTATGGTGCTGGATGGAGATTGTTAAAGGAAACCTGCCGAGTTTCTGACCACTAGTGGTACAAAGACACAATGTTCTGATGAGCAGGCATCTGCTTTGTTTGTTTGCCTCTATGAGTTTCACACAGTGTTGATGGATTGGTGGCAATGATGCGTCAGAGACTGTAGCAATGTGCAAGAAAAAAAGTCAACATCAAATCAGAAAATATTAATGCAAACGATGCAAATTTAAAATTTAGAAAAGAAAAAAACAATCACCTCTGCAGTTTTATGGTGTTTTATGAGGTAACATGTGGATTCAACAATGGTTTCTGGTGAGAAACACTGAACATAAACAAGGTATCAGTGGGAATTCTGGACTTAAGATACTTAACATGATTACCACTTTATTAGTCTGACTCAGGCTACTGAAGCCTCCTAAAAATCCAATTTAAAGTTAGGAAAACCTCCTTAGACATTATTTATTTAGAGTTTAACTCGAAAACTCGGCTAATCTACTTCATCAGGACTGTGTGGGTGCAGTTTGATCAAATTGGACAAACAGTAGTCTGGGAATAAAAGCAATCAACCCAACCAACTGCTATCGCATTCTTATTGTGCTCCTGATTGGTGAATTATAATATGAAACAGAATGTTTTTAGAAATTGCCTGCTTCAAACCACTCAGAGGAACGCTGCCATATTTGATCAAAACTCTCTCTCTCTTACATTTGTTGCACCTCCATCTGGTCTCCACGGTAACAAGATCGGAGGATGGTCTGCCGCTCAGCGTCCCACATGTGCTCCCTGAGGAAGTCGCCTGCCTGCACCGCTCTCTCCAGTAAGGCCTTGTCCCCCAGCACGGCTCCAACCCGAGCGTAGGCCGACAGCATCAAGCCTGACAAAGAGGAAGCAGTAGTGATGACACAGGTGGTGGCTCGATATAATATATTACACATAATATAGCTAATCTTGAAACTTTGTGTTCTTTCTCTCCAATGTGTATCCACACCACAGTCCCAGATTAGTTATTATTCCCACACTTTGAAGTTTCCCTTTTCTCTTCCAATTCCTTCTCTCCACCCTCTCTACATCCATCCGTTCCTCCCTCTATCCCCTCCACTCCTCTTTCATGTAGTGTATCAAAGCCTAGTGAGAGCACAGCCCGGTCTTCAAAGTGTTGCAGCGGAGGACAGGTGATTAATGGAGAGGTTTCTTCATTAGAGAGCAGAAAGAGAGTCTTGCGTCTAATTGGAAAGTTCTCGGGATCGCACAGCCTCATTACCTCACTAACACACTCTGTCGTGAGACGTTCGCGCTGGGAGCCGAGTTTGTGCGTGCACGTATGTGTTTATGCACGTGTGCGCTCTCGTAATTAATCACATCTGAGACAATGTGCTGGACAAACAGTGTTAAGGAGTGTCCAAATTGGCATCATACTAATTCAGAATGACAACAAGTGACTACAATACTCTACACACATTGTGATTCTCTCCTGTAGACAATAAATACGTGCAATACTAATGATAATAATAGAGAAAAAAAGCACCTGACATCCATCAGTTTGCTATTAATCAACTGATATAATGTGGTTGGCTTGCTTTGAAGGCATAGAGGCAAAGCTGGATAATCAGCAGCAGGCAGCTACGAAGGCAACTGAACCAGAATGGAACAAAACATGTTACAATTTTGGGAGGTTTATTACACGTTCAGTGACACATTCAGGTCAAAAACTTCTCTCTTTGGAGTATAGAGCATTTTCATACTTGTTGAAAAAGTTTGAAGTAAATAACTCAGTCAAATGTATTTTAATTATGTTTATGGCTTCCTTCCAATGTTCAGACACGGAAAATATTTAGAGACGAAAAATACACATAACAGCAATGTCCAAACTTTCCTTCTCCACTTCAACTGAGCAGAATTGTGATTCAGTTATGACACAATTAGGACAAAATTAGACGTACTACGCATCTTGGAAGTGTCACTCATGTTGTAAACAAATCGCAGCACGCTGGATGGAAAACAGCGGCCACCAACATCCTAAAAACCCTCTCGACCGTTTTTAGGCTATTGTTCTGACTGGTGCGTTTTATGCTGTCATCCTCGCTACGGCTGTCAATGTTGTAATGTGTGGGGTTAGTTCGGGGTGCACATTTGAAAGTAGTAATTTATCAACATCTTTCAGGATGTTGTCGTAGTTATGTTTATGCATAAACTTAAGAAAATTCTGTGTTTTAATTTCAGAAACCAAACATTACTTTGTATCTGTGCAGCAAATAACAGCTGGAATCATATTAATGTCACTTTCCCCCCAGAATAAATAAGCTGAATATCATTTGGTGACTCTAATGGAAGCTCTACAGCTGTCAGTGAAGATTATCAAGCTAGTCTTATAGAGAAACAGGATGCAGAGGGTTGAGGGTTCAGCCTTTGGCCTTGACGTACAGGTTTTGTATCAAAGCAGTCATATGCACGACCAACCACGTGATCACGAGTTTAACTAAATCTGTTGGGAGAAATGCATTTCAGATCATTAATTAATATGACTCTGCCTCCCTTAAATACACATATGATTGTATGATCTTGTACCCAGACTGCACCTCGTGATAATTAAGCAGTACTATTAGTTAAACAACGGCAGTGTATAGATTTGTTTTCTCAATTGGATGTGAATGACAGCTGCTGACTGATGATGATGCTGACTTTTGAATGTTATTGCCCTGCTTTACATCAAAGTTAAAAAGTTAAAAGTTTAAAAAAAAAACATCTTCCTGTCCTGGCAACTGCAGGAACCCATCTTGTTAGGACACACAAACCTGGGGATATTTGAATGGTAGGAGATGAAAGAGTCGCAAAGCTTCAGTGTAAACTTCTAAGTCTAAACTTTACCATTCCAGGAGGCCAGCATCTTGGTGTCCAGATGTGGGCGTGGCCGGCTCTTCCTCACTTCTGCCATTCTGGCTCTGGCGGAGGCCAGGAGCTCATTGACTTTCTCGACACTGATGCCAAAGTGAGCAGCTGTTAACTCGACTGAATAACGCACGATCAGCACATTCTGGCCCTGCAGCTCCCCGTGGGGGTCCTGGCAACACACAGTACAGAGAATAAGAGGGTGTTCACAGAAACTGACCCACACAGACTGCAACAGATGCAATGTTAATGCCTTAATAGAAAGCCTTTAACACAATAAAGGCCTGTCTGAATGAAATATAACAAGTATTTACCATTTAGCACGTTCATTCATGTTTTATTAATACGTTTTATTCATGTGACATTTTAATTAATCTGTCACGAGTCTTACTTTCATTTAAAACTATAATCAAAGCGAGAGTTACTCAAGCTACATGTGGCATAATACACAATAAAAAAAATTACCTGTTCTGGAGTAACATTGCCTTGCTCCTTAACCCCATAATGGTGCATAAAGATGTCTGCCTGCGTGGCAGCTCCAGTGGCGCCTTCCACCACATCTGGCAAGAGCTCCCGAACTTCTGAGGCCGTCCACACACAGAAAGCCCCCTCTCGCTTCTCTGCTCCCCCTGATGCTGGGACAGAGTCTGCATCCTCTGCGCTGTAGAAGCCGCCAGACTGTTTCAATGGAAATGGTAGGGGTGGAAAAGAGAGAGAGAGCGTTCTGTTTAATGTCAAGATGATCAGAGATAAAACACAGTATCATTAAGAGGTGTGTGCAGAATGCACATCAGCCTTTAGTGACATTACACAGTCTGTGCACATATGATGATAAGCACCTTTCTGAAAAGCTGTAAACGTTTGGAAAAGATATATACAGCAGGAAAGGTCAAGTTCACTTTTTACAAGTCAAGCTTTAATCTTCAACTAATCTTGATTAAATGCTGTAAAGACTTGTAGCGGTACACTTGGCTAGTCGGAAAACAGGGTGCCTTGCTATTTTTGTTATTCCTGAAAAAAAGACTGGAACATGTTAGCTTCCTTTATTTATTGGCTAATAATTGCCTACATGTCTCGAAAGTATAATATACACAATGACTGTAGGATCATTTTAACCCCACTGATATAAGTTCATCAAAACATTTTTAAAAATCACCAAAATTCAAAACTGTTGCAGGACAATGACGTCCTAATTCTTCACTACTGATCAAACAGCTCACAGGAAACAGGTAACGGGACACTCCAACAATTTAGTCTTTTCCATAAAGCAGTATTTCTCCAAAGTTGGGGAAGTTTCCAGGACAGTTTAAATAAAGTCGATGCAGCAAAGGCCAAATTATTCCAACTTGTAGTTCACAGATGAGCCAATCTCTAAAATCCTGCATTTCCGATAACGTAACTCAACTTTATCTTTTATTTGAGCCTACATGACTGATGAACGCCTAAGGCCGGGCTCACACTACAAGAGCTTACAAATCCCAACAGATTTGGAAATCGGGTTGCATCACATCGCATATGAGAAGAGACTTCACAGACATTGTTCTCTCTCTTCTTGCGACACGCACACACTACAAGAATTGAAAATAATGGTGCATCACACACTAAAGGCTGTTAAGAAGATTATCAGGCCAGAGGGAGTAATCAGGAAACAGTGTGCCACCTCATGTGGCCTCATGGGATGTAAACAAAATGGAGACTGTGGGGCAACAACTTGCTGTAACATTAATAATACTTCAGCAATAATACTTGCAGTGAAAACAACAAGCCTGGATGAGAAAATGGCTGGGAAGATGTGGTCAACACATGTTGTCTTTCCTTAAACTGAGATTTTCACTGTCAGTTTTAAGATATGAAGCTAACATTAGCCTAAATGACTACAGGACTAAAGGACTTTTCAGAGTGATTTTTGGTCACACACTCGTCTGCATTGCATGTGCTGCAGTAACAGAGTGCAGACTAGAGGCTTCTCTGTGCACAGTCATCTAGTTAGCGTCTACTGTGGCCTGTATGTGAGCCATTTAGGGAGCACTGGTGAATACTAGTGTTGATTGATAAGCAGATATTATGCTCACATTTTGGGTACAATTTATCTATATATTGCTCCTGGGAGAATTCAGAAGAAAAAGAACCTTATTTTAAGTCTCATTTTGCACATTATCAGGAATGTTGTGTAGGAAGAAGTGCTCCATTTATTCAAATGTAAATGCGAAATAAAAATAATGATCAATGCTGAGCAAAATAATCTGAAATAGCTTCTTTGGCCATAATCGTGCAGTCCTCTATGCTTTACAATGCATGATGTCTGTTACAATATGAAGGGCACAGTGAATTGAATGATTAACTCGTGATGTATACCTTGTTACATGCTAAGTGTCAACGAATGTGATTTGGGATGACGAGTTAGCCCCACCCATCATAAAAAAAAACACATTTGACCGTGAAATCATCATCATCACCATCATCATCATCATCACCAGTGCTCAACGCGAGCATGGCAGTCCACATAAGTTTTGTTGAGGCATCTACCCAGGAAGCTGTCCCAGTTTGAGGGCCTCAGCAGCTATTCATCTGGCTTGTCTCTCTTCCTCAGCCTTCCTCCTGTTTCTTTGAAAGGACCTCACACCATCACAAACCATTCTCCTCCATACTAGTCTGTCTAACGGGGCTGTAGCCCAGGTACCAATCTCGCAGTCTTTGAAGGTCCTTTTGTGGGCATCCTTAAATCTCTCCCTAGGAGCATCAACGCCTCTGGTTCCTGAGGACAGCTGGCTAAAGAGAAGCTGTTTAGGTAGACAAAGTAACTAATCATGTGCCCTTCTGATCGTAGTCTGTTTCGATGTAACGTAGCTCCGATGCTTGTCACAGAGCACCGGTCAACAACCTCAGCATTGGTAACACGATCAAACCATTTTATATTCAAGATTGTCCGTAGATATCGTTGATGAAACTTCTCTTGACCATGAAATAACAGTATGATCATAGGAGGTGTGTGTAAAAATGTGAAAACTACAGAAGGTGGCTGAGGTCTGCAGCAATTTGTTAATTTAACTCTTATCCTCCTCATCCTGAATTAATAATGTGGCTAGGGGAGATGTTTGTGGAGTCCTCTGCCGTTCATTAGTTCCATACAGCTCTGTGTTGGATTGCGAGATTCGCTGAGCCATGCTTTCTTTTAAACAATCTAGTCATCACATTGAATGGTTTTGCTTTTGATCCTTCTAGTAACTGCACCATAGCCACATGTTCTGTTGTGGATGGTCATATAGCAGAAGATAAAGATGCTTTAACTGTCTTTCTCTGTGATGTTAAAGTCTGCACAGTCAAGCTGAAATAACCCCGATGATAACATCTGGCTTATCTGTTCAGACTTTACAAAGTTTTCTTCAGAACCCGAAAATACATTAGAATTTGTAGAGGATGAGTAGTAGTGACAAGTCAGCTGAATTTTGAATGACAAAAGTGATTGCATTTATGTAAGCCCAGAAAGAGAGAGAGAGCGCCAACATAACTGTCTTTTCAAGTATTTATATGACAAATGTGACAATAATCAATTAATTAACACCTCTCAAGTCATCAGTTGTAACAGTGTCATGTAAGCGCTCTCTTAGGACTTGTTCACAGCAGAACAGCCTTTTTACAGTTGAGAGCTCGGGGAGTGTACCTCGCCAAGCGATGATCCCACCCATTGTATCACAAAAAAAAAGCACTGAGTCTGTAGAAAATTACTATTGCTGCGTTAATTCATTAGCCTGTAATTACGTAATAAATCTTAGAGAATATAATGATTAGAGCGAGTGCGGTTTTAATTGTGTGCCCCATTCGCTGCTGTCTCCTCATTAATCAAAAGGAAAAAAAGGCTTGACCCATAGAGGGGAGCAGGAGTTTAAGAGGCTATTTGTCAGCGGGGTCCCACCCCTTGCCCTCGAGGATGTATGAACACTGCATGCACACAAGTGCACGCTTACCATTTCCCAGTGGGATGTATGTTTGCACTTTATCAGCAGCAGAAACAGATTTTGTGACAACAGCCCACAGTGTGTTGCTCTAAGCCTTATCCTCACTTCCATTCTGTATCTTCGTAAACTCCTTGCTTTAGGTTATTTCCATTGCTTAGGTGAACCTAGTGGTAACACATGGTCCTGTTAAGACTCCTACATGCACAATTAGGCACACAGAAATACCATTAACAAGGCTGGAGATGATTCACCTTGTCACTCAGGTCTCTGGAGACGTAGAGCAGTATGTCCTTAGCCACATCTGCAAAAACCTGCTCACCTGATACCTGGAATACAGACAACACACATCCTTAAGAGTCATGATTTAACCTTAACATAACCTTATAGATAACATCATGTGATTTATATGCAGGATACTTCCTGCAGCATCCGATGAGAATGCTGTAGTACCCTCTACATCTTCATGAAACATGGGCATGCATGTGTGTCTGTATTTGAGTTCGCCTGCATGTTCGTGTCCTAATTAGGTTTTTGTTTTGCAATCTCTCTCCATATTAAAAAAAAACAGAGAGAGGAAAAAGCCAGCTCAGCATGCACTCATGAGAAAACTAAAAACTATGGCATTCAGATTCCAATGGGTTTTTTTTGTTGTTTTTTTTTGCTGCATGTAAATTCAACGCTGCCCAGTGCATTGGGAAGAGAATAAAACAGTTTGAGGAAAGAAAAACAAACCGTGCAAACTACCCCATCCTAATGTGTGTGAAATAGCACTTTAATTGTCACTGGGAGTGTTTGTATTCAGTCTAAAACAAAACAAATGTTTGCCAAGTCTCATGCTGAAGATTTATGGTTGGCTGAGTAATATGGCGATAAATTATGTAGATGAGAGAGAAACAGAAAGATGGAGGCTAATTACCTTGTCAGATACACAACGAGGAACACACACACACACACAACAGGCCACAATCACAGAGACAATCGCACACACCTGGGAAGCTGTTATGTAGGCTACGGCCAGCTGAGCCTGGTCGTACAGCATCTTTTCAAAGTGAGGAACATGCCAGGAGGAATCTGTCGAGTAACGATGAAAACCCTGAGAAAGACAATAAAAGGGATACTGTATGAACTGCCTGGTACTGATGATCAGTTAAAGTCATCTACATTCCAACTGCCAAAGCCCCATTGCTCTGGCAACACGTGCTTATCATGTCATGCAGCTTAAGCACATCTGACCTGAACTGCAAGAACAGAACACAAAACGTAACAACGTTCATACAGAAAGGCATTTAAATGTGTTAACTGTAAACAAACTATGGCTGCAAATAACTATTATTTTCATTGTCACTTCATCTTAAGATGATTGTCTTTATTGACTGCATAATGATTTAGTCAACAAAGCGCCAAAACACTGAAAATTGCCCAAGAGGCATTAGGAGATAATAGTGTCTCCAAATTGCTAGTTTTATCTGACCGACAGTCGACAACTTCAAAAGTGTTAGTTAAGTAAGACATATGATGAGCTTCCCTAAAATTGGAAAAGTTGGAGTTTTGAATGTTGGGCTTTCATAAATAAAAAGATGCTAGAAATGAGTATCAAGAATGCTGTGACCAAAGGATTTTACTTTTGTCTTTAGTTTTCAATTAGACCAACTAATAGCTGCAGGTCACTTTAGAGCATTTACAAACTATGCACCGTTGAATGTTCTGACAACTGTCGCTGGATTGTTGTTGTTTTTTTTACTTAAAAAATGACCAGTTTGGTTTGCAGAGTGAATCGTTTTGCATCAATCACCTAATCGCTGTCTATGCTCTCTTGTAGATCTGACCTGGGGTTGTGTTTGAAGACATAATTTTATTGTTTCTTTTTGAAATTTTAGCACAGGCTGTATGTAAAAGATGGACGTAGCCTCTGGGTACGAAAAGTGAAGTCAAAGCAGAAGCAACTAAAACCTGCCTTCTTCCTAATGACCAGAAGGAGGCGACTCTTCTGGTTCTGAAAAGAAGTCTGATTGTAAAGAGGTCTAATGGAAAATGACCCTTCACATTTGTTAACGTGATAAAATTGTTCCTAATGAGGTTATGGTGTTATGATTGCTAGTTTCAAGTCTCCTTCAATACAGCATGAGCATTATAAATTATGGTCCCGCTGTCAGTAAAATAGACAATAAAGCAGGACATGTTTAAAGGCAGGGCTACCTTGTGGTTGCAACCGTATCACCCTGCATAGTGTCCTTGAGTTCTCACTCAGATCCACTCTTTGCTCGTTATGTCCAGTTTTCAAGGACTAAGATAGTGACGGCTGAATTCCAGACTTAAGGCCTCTAAACAGTAGTCAACAAGTGACACTGGGTGACGTCAAGGTCGTCCATCTTTTACATACAGTCTATAGTTTTCTCACTTTATGTTCAATCTGCTGTTAACCTCCTGCTTTTATTTCACATTTGCTCGGTTTTTCCAGCTGTAAAGTCAAGCCTCGTTAAAATTCTGCGAGTAATATTTTATCAACATTTGTAAACATTCCCACCCCTCGTATGAACCTGTGCCACGTGGTCGTGGATGCCTCCCAGTGCCATCATACGGAGTGTGTGCAAGGCCATCTGGAGAGCTTCAACCCCTTCTGAGGTGGAGCGATTCACCGACCAATAAGACATGAGGAACATCAGATTCACTACAGAGGGAAAGCAAGAGAGAAAGAAAGAGAGCAATGAAGAGAAAGTGTGTCGGATGAAAAGTATGTAAATGGTCCATTAACACTGAAATCCACTGAGATGACCACTCCTGGCTCCAGTGCCTACCTGGTGTAGGGAACTTTGGAGCATCTCTAAAGCCTCCGTACTCCTCCTCATAAGAATTGGCCAACTGCTGGAAGCAGCGATTAGCGACATCTGGGGCCAGTGGAGGACTTTCTCCTGGGTTTGCAGTAATGGCTGTGCCTTTCTTCAGGGCTTCAAGGATCCTGTCCCCACTGGACTCCAAAGTAGTGCGATTATTCTGCCACTGAGTCACATAAGTCACACTTGTCGGTATTTATACACATCCATGCTACAGAGACGGCACACAAGAGTTAATATATACAAAACTGAAATCCTGAGAAGTCTGAAAGTCATATAAGTCAACAAGAAAGTGCAGAATTTTTTTTAGCATTGTACACATGCATGCCTTTAAGGATTTTCTTTATTCCTAGAGTATCCTAATATTAACTAATTATTTAAAGAGACTGAACACTTAAGGAGTTTTAGCAAAGTGTTACTACCTGTTCCATGATTCTGGTGAGAACAGTCTTGAACCCAGGTCTTCTTCCATGGTCTCTTGGAGGGAAGTAGGTGCCCCCGACGAAAGGTCGAAGGTCAGGAGTCAACCAGACGCTCATGGGCCAACCTCCACCACCGCTTGTTGCCTGGAGACAGCAGCAACCAAAAGTCAAAAAAATGCATTAACAGAGAAAATATCAGAGGCTTGTGAGTGAAAACCTGCATATAAGCATCCATTTATACACACCTGTACGAAGGTCATGTAGACCTTGTCCACATCAGGTCTTTCTTCTCTGTCTAGTTTGATGCATACAAAGTTCTCACTGAGGATTTGACCAATTTCTTCGTCTTCGAAGGACTCCCGTTCCATAACGTGGCACCAGTGGCATGTCGAATAACCCACTGACAGTCAAGGCGAGACAGATAATTACAGAAAACGAATGCTTCACTTCTGTTACAAGCCGAGCTATAAGCAAGTCCGTAAAAAAGCATGTGACAAGTGAGTGTTTCTGCCTTATGTTATATACTGTCATGTCATAGGAAATGACTTGGTGGGATTTCTCACATTAAACATCCTAGAGTTCAGAGTGAAATGGTCCCAAAATTAAATGCTTGTTAACATTTGGATTATTGGCTTCTAACCTGATAAAAAGATGGGTTTGTCTTCAGTCTTTGCCTTGTCAAAAGCATCTTGTCCCCATGGATACCTGAAAAAACACAACATGAGGCTATGTGACATCAGCTTTAAAGTGCAAACTGGTGAAAATTAAAGGAAAAACATTTTGCAGCCATAGTTTGGGTCCACTTGTCCCAATAGAGGGAGGAGTCACTCCAAATCAGTAAAAGAGTTGTTCTGAATGACAACCTTTATGCTGTGATGAAACATTTCTGTCCTGATGGAGGTGAACTCTTTGAGGATGACGACTCGTGTAGTCACAGGACAGGAGGGGTTATTGAATGGGTTGATGAACATTAACTGAATCACATGCTATGGCCTTAACATTCACCTAACCTCAACTCAATTAAACATCTAAGGGAGATTTTGGACCAACATGTTGGACAGCGCTCTACACCACCAACATCAAAACACCAAATGAGGGACCATCCTCTGGGATAACGGTGTTCCATCACTGCAAAGTGAATTGTAGAATCAATGCTGCTCCGGCTGCACGTGGCAGACTAACACTGTACTATAACACTTAACATTATTTTTTTCCTTTTGTCACCCATCTGTAAGCAGCAAGCAGTAGCTCAAAAGGCACTCACCAGTCAACAGGGTTGTGTGCATGTTGCAGCAGGTAGGGCGACCGCTCCTTGGCTAACCTGTTGGTGTGTTTGTGAGGAGTGGACGATGGCCCTTCGCCTCCTGATGCCATGCTCATGAAGACTGATGGACTGCATACACAGCAGAACACAGTCACAGAGTTAGTCGGTTTGTTGGTACAAATGCAAACCTAACTTGTGAGCCTTCAACTGGTCCAAATGTTGCTGGGTTGTTTGTTTTTTATTTCATCATCTAAAGTCTTTAATAAATGGACTGTCTTGACTGAAAAAGACAAATAACCATGGTGCTCCTGTGTTATCCCTTTCTATCAATAATCATGGCTAATTAGGGAATATGATATCTAATATGAAAACAGTACTTAGCTGTGGTTACACACGCCTGCTGTTGTTACTGCATGGTATATTAACAGCACGTATTGCAAAATAGATGTGATGTTAACGAGTAACCCTAATGGTTAACTTTCCTGGTTGCAACACATTACTGGATGCCTGCAAATAAAACGGCATGTGTTCACGCTGTCAGCTTACTGACTCTGTAGTCGCTTGTTCAGCAGCTTCGTATTACAGCTGCAGTAGCTGTCAAGCACTGTGACTGTTAGCTAACTGCCTGTCATGTCGAAACGCCTTCCAATAGTACCTACTTTACTGTGACTTTGTTTACAAGCAAAGATTCATGCCTGGGAAATAATCACTGAACAGTTTCCGAAACACTGGGCATTCTCCTTAAATTCGGCTGAAACGGCTTAGATATATAAGTTACACATCTATTCATTATCGACAAGGACAATGCTAAAGTTTACTGTTAGCAGAGAGCGGTAACGCAGTTATCAGTGAAACCAGTCCTAAATAGTGGAAGTGAGCGTTTCTTGGTAGCTTGGGCAGTTATACCGAATTGAAATACATAACATGTCAGTCTTGTTTAAATACTTGTACTCGATGTGGCATCTCTTGTCGCAGTGGTTAACGTTAGAGACTTTAAAAATGTATGGTTTTGTATTGGACTCTGGAACACCTGGTTCAAAAGCACGCTCATATTGTTCACTGCTATCATGCGGCGAGCAACACAGCACATATCAAATTAAACCTTCTGTGAATTTCGCTTGTAAGTCAGGTTTGCTTGCTGTAACGTGTCAAAGTAGCGTTAACACACAGCTAGCTGTAGCTAACTATTAGCCGCGGTGGCTTTACCTGAGACAGCAGGCCGGCCTGGGATGGAGGAGCGAGGACCTGTCGCTGGGTGGGTGGGGAATGTGTCTCAAACACCTAATGTTGCCCTCAGAGCTCTGCTGTGGACTGCTCGCTCCCAGGAAAGCTGCAGTCAAAAGGCGTGCAGGCTCCGCGCAGCTATTTCTGGACGTCGACCGACGCCATGCCAGTCTTAACATCCTAATCCAGTGATTGAGTTACTTTAGCAAGCTAACGTTAGCTACTTTGTTGGCACAGAAACTTTCAGGCGAACACGTTTTTGTAATACCGCCTATGGACACACGGTGGCGCGCTAACAGGACAGGAGCTCACCTACACAGGTGGGTTCCTTTAATTTACACAGTCGTCCTCAGATATATTCAAACCCTTCCAATAAAGAAAAGGAAAAATTCACAATAGTCACTCAATAAACTAGAAACTGAAAAAAGTAATAATATATATATATTTTTAAAGTTGCTATAATTATAATTTAGCGAAAAAAGACATTGCTTTTGAATTGTGATTGAAAAGAATAATTAAAAAATAAAACAAACAAAACTGTCCCGGACAAATTAAAGCACTTTGCTGATGAGCAGTGGGCCAAAATCCAAATACCTGTCAACATATCATATATAAATATACACATACATAACTGTTTTATGTTTAATGTCGTATTGGTCACTTCTGTTTTGGTAAAGTTCTGTGAGAAAACAACTAAAAGAAATGAAAAGATGATTAAAAAGAAGAAATGTTTGTAATAACTTCAAATGAACTGAGGTGTTGGTGCATGAGAGGAATTTCCAAAGGTTCAACTGCATGTATGCATCACTTTATTGAATGGACTCATATGATAGAATCTATAATAGAGATGACATTCACAGACAGTAAATGTTCACAAGCACAACTCTTACAGATTTAGCTGACGGCACAGCTTCAGAGCTTGAGTGTGTGAGCTGGTGAAGGCTAGAAATGTTATTAAAAATAGAACAGGGATCATTGATTATGGCAAGTGATTTTAACACATAGTAGCTGGACTAATCAAAATAGTTGTAGACGTCTCAGACGTCAATTGTTGTAAATTATGCCACTTAGACAAGACTTCCTGTTGGATATTGATCTAGCAAAGTGTTTGAAAAGTGTTAGCAGAAGTAAAGGCAGCTGCTGGGAGGGTTAAGATCATTATTGAATTTCCCTTCTGGGATAAATAAAGTATTTTTCATTTCATTTCATTAGAAAATGACATGAAATAGAAAGAGCTTATGTCAAATGTGCTTGTGGTTGAAGTACCGTAGTACAACCCAATCTCACGGCAATTCGTTATTTCACGAATTGCCGTGGGACTGGGTTGCGTAGTAAGTTTAAAAAGCTCCACCTCCCTGTTGCCGTTGCATTAGACATAACTACACATACTGGCAGCATTCTTTCGCCGAGTCAAAATTTGAATTCAAGATTTCTGTAGTTACATTTTGACAAGGAAGAATTCCAGTTCAAGATATCTGCAGCATCATTCTAACTATTTCAAATTTAAGTTCAGATATCTGAAAAAGGACACTACAGATATCTTGACTTGCGAGGAATTAAAGACATTTTGAATCAAAATTATACATATTCAGAATCAGATAAACAGATATCTGAAACTGAGATCACAACTAGTCATAATCCAGCCGCAGATATCTGCAATCTGAAGCTGAATTGTGGGTATCTGTCATGAGAAACCCAATACACAATGATGATATTTACTTCTGTGTGACATTGTGGATATCTGAAATGTTCTTTTAGACCAGGAAGAAGTGAATTACAGATATGTTCCAGTCTAGCTATTAGATGTGAAAACAGCTTGCCATACTTCCGTACACCATCCATGCCTGTCTATGTGTGCAAGTCCTTCAGAAAAGTCCACAGATAGATGGACTCATAGAAAGACCTCATAATAGCATTTTATGCACTTGACAGACTGTTAGAGTGCGGATTCAGATTGGACCTGAGTCAAACCAGACTCCTAAAACACTCTCCGTCACATATATAACAGTAAATCTGTTACATCAGCGTTGGCACACAGCACTTTGTGCTGCAGTGTTTTCATCATGCTTTCGCCTTTTTCGAATTGAGCTCAACAATCGTCGAGACAAAGTTGTTACGAGTCACCAAGTCTGAGGCAACAATGTTCATCGGTGTTTTGCAGGACTGCTGTTTCACCCATCGCAGCAGCTTCGGCAGACTCCTCTGTATGACGTTGACGAGGTTGTCGCACATGCGAAGGACGTACTTGAGGATCCTGGCGTCATGTGGCAGCGTCAGGTTCAAGCCACATACGAAGAAATCTGCAGATCATGATGGTTAAATTACAATCTTCAGTTTTTTTCAGTGTACTAACTTTACAATGTGTGACTTGTATTTTATGACTGAAAAGATGTAACTGACTGACAGCAGACATTACAGTGACAGAATCATTTGTCAGATGAAAAACGACTTAGTATTTACAACATACTCAAACCAAGTAGGAGGTGAGAAACAGAGAAAACTCACGTTGCACAGGCCTTTCCTTTTCCAGAACTTGACAGAGTTTTGCTTCAATTATTGCAGGGTCCATACTGTTGCCATAGTAATAATTTATTTTTTTCCATATATCATTGTGCTTATGTGCTCGATAGTCGTATGAAACTATGACGTTTCTGCCTTGGTCCCAGCAACCCTTCAGGGTGGGCTTTTCCTGTTTGTGAGACATTGAAATATGTTTTTTATATGTTCACAATATATACACGATCTATATAAAGTTTTCATACCCCTGTCGACGTTTTGCTTTTGTTTTTTTTTTGCTTCTTGACAGAAGGCCTTTAAAGGCTTGTTAAAGTAGAGGGTAAAATAAATGCAGCACAGTATAGAGAAATATTGGAAGACAACCTGATGCAGTCAATATAAGAACTGTGACTTGAGGGAAGATTTGTTTCCCAGCAAGACAATGACCCAAAGCATACAGCTGAAACTACATTGAAATAGTTCAAAGACAACAGGAGAATGTTCTGGAGCGGCAGAGTTAGCGCCCAGACCTCAGTCCTCAATTAGATCGAGAATTTCTGGCAGGACTTGAAAAGTTCTGTTCATGACCACTGTACGCCTGACAGAGCTTGAGCAGTTTTGGAAATAAGTATAGGGTAAACTTGCAGTGTCCAGATGTGCAAGACTGGCTACTAGTGATGTGTGGATCGATTCTTAAATCAGAATATCAATACTTTTGATACTTCAGTCATTTGAGGTAATGTATATCATTACCAGGAGCACAGTGGAAAGTTACTCAGCTATTGAGACCTTGACTAAATGACACGCCGTTGGTAGGAACTACTTTTTCTTCCACCTGGGTTGGTGTGTAAGCGCAGCGGCTCAGTCAGTCAGTCTGCTGACACAATGGCAGAGTGTAAACAGCCAAGATGTGGTTTGTGATGTTTGTGGCAAAACGGTAAGGAGTTTTGGCAACACAACAAATGGTGTGAAACACCTCAAGTTAAACCACAACACAGAATATGAGGCATTCATGATGAGGTGGACTGAAGAGGACAACAGTGTCAGGTGCTGCTGGTAGGGCAGGACGGGTGTCTCTAAGGAAGTCTTTTGGTGTTGCAGGCAGCACTATCCACGTAGAGAGTGAGGACATGTGGAGCTTTAAGTGGCGTTCAGCACTGTGGCTGCTGGAGTTGTTCATTCATAAATATGGTTATGGAATAAATACATGCTTCAACAAATAGCTGCATGAGTTCAGCTTGGAATTACGTATGTATCACTGAAATAATCTCACATAGGCAAAAAAAAAAAAAAAGCCTGGATTTATTCAGGTAAGGTTTCCTAAAGAGCTGATCATTTAAAGTGGATTACAAAGACTAGATGTCATCAAATTATACAGAGCAATTGCAACAAATTTGAATTTCGAAAAATATACAATAGAAAAGATGGATAAAAAATAACATTTTATCTATAAAATATGTCTATTATTATTTACATTTGGTCTAATTTGCGATAACTGTTAAATGAATATTTTAAAATCTTAGATAACAAACTTATGTAATTATTGTGGCAATTACTATATAAGTCCTCTGTTTGGGTTTTCCGTTGTTGTATTAGCTCGACTATATTGTAAATGAGGCCGCTACCTCAATATAGGTCAAAGTGTAAAATAAATAAATAAATAAATAAGTTAGTCTAATGTCTTGTATAATTCTGAAGCTATGATTTCAAATACACTACTTTTTTTTATAGATTTGCCAGACACAATAGGTGTATTTGCACAAAGTATTGGGTCGGTATCGCCAATACTAGCCTGCACTTTACTCAGTATCTGGATTGGAAAGTGAATCAGTGGTATCAAACATCACTGCTGGCTACAACTACTTCTACACAGGCTAAATGTTGTAATCACAGCCAAAGATGCATCAACTACATACAGACTTAAGGAGGGTGAATACATAGCAATCAATTATACTTAGTCGAAATCTGTTTTCACTTTCATGTGAAATAATCGTTCTATTTGATCTAAAAGTCAATAGCACTTACATTCCGCACTTTAATTATTTGATTTGCTTGACTTACTGATCTTAATGCAAAAAAAGTGTATACTTTACCCACGTATAGACGAGTTTGGCTCCAAACAAGGTCTTGATGAAGTTGAGAAGATGGGTGTGAAGTTGCTTTTCATTTTTTTTGTCAAACCCTTTAAAGTTGGATAATGATAGGATGACAATTTCTTTCGGATGTCCCTCTGCCCAGTCCTTTATGTCTTTGAGAACAGTCTGACCACAGTGCAGAAGTCATTGTTAATACAGATGGCATCAAATATATAAATATGAATGAATTGTACCTTTTCTTTCATCCGACTTTTAATTTGGTTTTACTTTTTTTTGAAAACTTATTTAAAACAAAACAACTTTAATGGATCATTTGGATTTTTTATCACCCATAGTCAACAGTTATTTTAATCTATTTAGCAAACCTTTCAGCTATGTAAGTATGACATGTCTATTTTTACCTCCACATCAGTTCGTGTGTACAGCCCGTGGTAAAAGTAAAGCCTTGTGGGATCGGTATCATTTGGCTTGCGTGCGATCCTCAGGTCCAAGTAGCGAACTCCTGCATCCAGTTGCTTTGTGATGGTCGCTTCCTGTGATAAAACACCCGTCAGACCCTCCCTTCACTATTCCTTATATGCACAAATTGAGGTACTGACAGGTTATAAACTCTCCTTACCTGAGTGATGGCCCATTTGCGCACTATTTTACGCACACAATAAATCTTGCTGAACCTTCTTAGTCCATCAGGTTCTATTATAGAGGAGTTGATATCCAAGTCATAACTCATTGAGTCATGGCTTCCTAGGAATGACACATGCACACACACACATTGGTGCCATAACCACAGACTGTATATAAAACATGGTCATTGCCTACAGGTCTGAAAAGTAAGGCCAGCAGGGGGCGAGTTCCTGTGGTTGCAGAAGTCAGATTGTATTGAAGTCTATGAGTAATTACTCCACTTCTCACTTGATCTGTTACTTCAGGAAATGTTTTCCTAAAGAGTTTATGCTCTCAATTTGTAGTTTGAAATCTCCTTCAATACATCCATCCACTATTTATACACCGCTTAATCCTCACTGGGGTCACAGGGGACTGAAGCCTATCCCAGCTGAAGGTAGGGCGAAGGCAGGGGACACCCTGGACAGATCGCCAGTCTATCACAGGGTTACACTTAGAGACAGACAACCAAGCACACTCACATTCACACCTACGGACAATTTAGAATCACCAATTAACCTCAACATGTTTTTGGACTGTGTGGGAGGAAGCCGGAGAACCCGGAGATAACGGGGAAAACATGCAAACTTCACGCAGAAAGATCCTCACCGGGACACGAACCGGCGACCGTCTTGCTGCGAGGCAACAGTGCTAACCACTGATCCACCTTGCAGACCCTCCTTCAACACAGCATGATGTTAATTTTGCAATATATTTTGTTTCATAACTTTTATAGGTCTATCAAACTAGCCTGCACATTGAAATATAAATAAGGACGTGAGGACACCCAGTGCATTCAAATGTTCCACCAAGTTGTTCTGCTAAAGCGGCACTGGGCTATGTGATGAGTTGGCAATAAGACCAGGCTGGAAAATCACAGATCTCCAAAACTGTGTCCAAAACTTTGTCCAAAATCAGTCCCTTTTTCACTCACTCACTGCTACCCAAATAATGGACACACAATAGTGAGCAGGAATTTCAGCCACAAGATTAGATACTGTGGATACTATTTTTTTGTCCCATTAAAAAAATATGTGAGGGCATTGTACAGCAGAATTAATAAATTAGCACAATGAATTCAGTTAAAATTTGATGTTTTTTTTTCCTGTTCCATTTGCATGATGAGCTGTATGCAGCCCTAAACAGCTACTACATTTGTAAATTGCTGTGTTTATATATGTAATCCTTTAGAACTGAATTGAATTTGGAGCAACCTAATACCCAATGACAATGACGCAAAATACATTTTATTTACATTCTGCATGCTTACAATTTGCAACTTAGCATGGCAACATTACCATTTAATCTACAACTTCACTTCACAGAGCTGCCTGTGTGGCCGTCTTACTCAGATAAGTTACAGGAAGCATTGCTTTGTTGCTTTAAAGCTCATTAACAGATGTTCACTTCTTTCACTGTCTTCACATTACTTTACATTGTTTCAGCTTCATACCTGGTAGGGTCAGATCATAGAGCGCAACGGTGTGAAGTTCAGGTGGTAGCTGTGACATCCAGTCGCTCATTGCTTCTTTTCCTTTGCCCTTCCGTGCAGGCATCCTAAATTCTGCACAAAAGGTTTCAAACTTCACTTCCAGCCTCTTTTAAATACATCGCCCCCAGGTAAAAATAAATGGATCATTATGAAAAAGCACAGACGTCGGAGAAACGACACTTACCCTGCCGAGGCAATCCCCCAGCCTCCCTGTATTACCTCGGATATGACAGCGCCGAAGCGCGGAAACAACTGAGACAGACAGTTGAGCTGCCTTTTAGGAGCCTGCAGTACTTGTTACACGTGTTGAACTTGTAGCCCTGTGGTATGAGAGAGGGAGGGGGGAAAAAAAGTGTTGTTGTCATTCAGGTTTTGTTATCAGAAAGCCCATTGTATGAGGAAGTGTAGAAATGGATTCGCTTCTTACTGGTGTGTTTGATTAACGTGATGGTGAGCTCTGCTGAACTTCCTCATTCCATCACTGTTCAGCTGGGTCCAGAAAATGTTGGAAAGAAACTAATTCTTTCAACTCACTCTGAACTCTCAGACAAGGACCATAAACCCTTACTGGGTCAATAAATCAGTGCAGGATGACGCCTTGTTAATTCATGAAAACTCTGTAATGTGCTGTACTATACGGTATACTCCCATTAAAAAAGTGACTACCCTAAACTGCAACTTGGAACAAGAAAGTTCTGTCTCCATTATTTTGTGTGTGTGTACATGGGCGTGGCTACCTGATCTCCACAGGCAATCACCTGACATACCTGACGCTCATCCACCAATCAGCAGCTACCGTATTCAACTCATCACTCCTTGCCTGTGTGTCCTGCCTGCCTCTGTAGTAGAACCATCTCAGCCAAACTCTACTCTTGGTTTATGCTCCCTAGTGCTTTTTTTTCCCTTTTTTTTTTTTGCTCTCAGACTAATCTACAACTTCCTTGTGCCTTAGGGTCCAGTCTCATCCAGTCATCTCCTTGCCAGCCGCATCCAAGAGCCAAGTTGCAACTCACCCTTCACCCTCTCCGGTCAACAGCAATTCCTCAGACGACTAAAGATTCCCACACCGGCCAGCTCACCTCCCAACTCCTCCACCACAGCAACCAATCACTCAGCAGCTACGGCCTCCCCTCTGAAGGTTCCCTCTATAGGATTTACTTACAATCCCTAAGAGACTTGTTGCTGTAATTGAATTGATTTTTAAAAGGTTTACACCTCCACTCTCACTCTGACTTCAAATATCTTTTTAGTGTGTCAGGCAGTTCCAACTAAGGTGTTTATATGAGCCATTTATATTCTGACTGTGTCTTTATTCCAATTAATATTGGAATATATGGTCAATGGTAGCAGTTATTGTGATTATATGTACACTGCAGACAATGTGTGTTGTGTGAAGTTCCTCTTGAGAAGGAGAACGTGGTTGCAGTGTCGCTCTCACCTGCTATCAGGGGACAGTTCCACATTTAGGTCAGCTTTGATTATTTAGCTTACGGTCGGTAATAAATTCCCACTCAGCTTTACAGTTACTGCAGGTGTTGAAAGAGGAAATAACTCTTATTCCCTTGCAAATGAAAAACTCATAAGCAATAAATGACATTCTTTCCTAAGTTAATACCCACAGAGATTTGTCCTCTACAGCTTATGGTGGCCAAAGTCTTCTCTAAATGCGATATTTTACACAATGTTAAACTTTCCCATAATTGCCACATGAGGCCTCAGCAGTTGCTATTAGTTTCATAGACTCACCTGTCTGGCATACTGATCGTTCGGTTACACACATTAGATTTATAGTGTAGTGTGCAAGGCGGCGGAGCAATAGTCTGCAGGATTCAACACAGTTTATAAGGCAATCAGATGAACACACAGTAGGTGAAAAAAATATTTTACACAAAATGATACTGTCGGCCTATAAAAATCTGCCTATAAAATCTTACAAACACTCCTGAAGCCAGACTATATAATACCTCACTCCACTTGTGTCATTGTTAAGTGTGTGAAATTGTGTGATTCCATCGTAAGCCAACAGGAGATAGAGAGGAGATTGGACATCAGAGTTCTATTCATCCATATGTTCAAGCTTTTGCTGCTTTTACTCACATCACCAGTATTGGTCATGGTATGACCAAGTGTCATCAAACTTAGCCATGGGGTTGTTTGGTACATGTGCCTATACTCCTCCTATAACCCTGCTCCTCCAGGAACTCCCTGTCAGTTTTACCCTTCTCCAGAGGGACTCTTTGGAAAAACCAAAGAGAGCAACTGAATATGTCCTTCCTCTTGTAACTCTCTTATATGCAGAAGCTGCTTTCATATCAAGAGCGTTGCCACTTGCAAGTTAAGTATCATGGATGTCTGCAGTTGTTTGAGGAGCGAATTAAGTAGGCAGGCAGTGGGAAAACAGAGTAAGTATAAGGATGTGTTAGAGTAGTCTAGCTGGCTTACTTGATGACGCACTCAGATAGTGCCACAGTGGTACATAGAACAAAGGCCCAATGCATCATCTCAACTCTGCTGTAGAAGATAATACATTTCAGTTGTGAAAAACAACAGATCAAGGTCATGTCTTTGAGATTGATTACATTATAAAACCATTCACAGTAAAATGCTGCTACAGTAAAAATACTAGCTCTACAATCCTGTGGTGAACCAGAGTGGCCACAGACAGGTTTGATACAGGATGACTCACAGTTTAGCATTGCACAGTGATAAGGCAATGCACACACAGGTTCCAACTGAGATGATAAGGAAAGATAAGCAACGGGAAAAGCAATGGTTGACCTCAAGACAACCGGTTATGTGATCAGTGTAACTCTTGGAGTCAAAAGGTGATGCAAAGTGATGTTCATCATCAAGTCACAGCTGTAACACTCAGTGTCTTGGGTAATACTTTAGTTTTATGCATAGCGTCTGGTTGGTTCTGTTGCTTCCATTGATCTTATTTTAAACTCAACCTTGGAATACATACCCCAATCCTACTGACACACTGTTTGGGGATTTTCTGTTTTGCATTGTGCATACTTTTTTTTTTTTTTGCAAGTATGCACTAAAACATAGCAAAACCAGCACTCCATAACGTATCATTACCATTTGTTTATATATGATGAAGTCAAATATCTCACACAGATATATATAATAATAATAAGTTGATAAAATATCCATAGGGTTGGGTTATCACTTAACTAAACTTACATATATAAACACAAAGTGTTGTTTACAGAATGTTTTTTATGTGTTTGTATGAATAATATTACAAAAAATTAAACAAACAGAAACTTCTGGACCAAATGGCCGTTTATTTTTGTCTCGAGAGCAAAACATGTACAGTGTCTCTTGTCATAAAAACTATAACTGTATGGTAATTGTAGTATATATTATATTGTAAGGTACACAGTGCAAAAGTGTACAAGACAGTAAAGACTTGTCTCTGTCAACATTTTGCCCTAAAAGTTTACCCCAAGAACTTTTAGGGGTTTCCTATGAATAAGTTTAGGATGTTGTGGTAAAGGAGATATCTGCATTCTGCACAGCTTCCATGATATTTATTATAAAGGAGTCTGTGTTCCAATGAAGGCAAGAAGAGATTTATTAAATGACTTATGTGCAAAACTGTGTTTTAATCTCCTTTTCTTTATCATTAATATTTGGGGTTTTTTTCAGACTTGCCAAAAACCCTTGAATGCCAGAAGAAGTAGTACTGTAAACTCATCTTCATGTGTAAAATAGAAAAGCGTCCATTTGATTTCGCCTGAAGAGCACCTGTTAACACAATGCAATCTGTCCACTTATTGGAACAGTGTTACATTATGCAGTGTTGAAGCAGGAACAAACACAGTCCAGCTGTTTCGCACTTTGTAGCTGCAAGTCAGTGCCTCTGTTGCCAACCACATTCATACAGACTGGGTTGAGGCATCAGGTCAGTTTTCTTGAGAACGCATTCAGTATATAGTCTTACTCAGTCTCTGGTCCTTCAGAGAGCCAAGCCTTCCTTTTCACTGGAACACCATCACTGATTTGCCTTCGTACCCCCTCTTCACTTCTGGGTCTGGTGTTAGCGAATGCTAAATTTTCTCCACTATTTCTACACAAAGCAGCTCCTGGCAGCTGGAGGGCCCTCTGTGCAGCATCAGCTGAATGAGAGCTCCCAGAATACCATGCTCTTCTTCTGGGAAACCTGGCAAAACCAGGAGAACCTGCGTGCAAACCAAAGTTTCCGGGTGCAAGCTTTGGAGTTTCAGATAAAGATGCTTCACTGGATGGCTGAGACTGGAGCGATCCTGACTCTGACTCAGAGTAGGAGTTACGTTTACGGGGAAAGATGCAGACCGATGCAGCAGAGGGTTGAAATGTGGAGGGAGTGAAAGAAAATGAGGATGGAAGGGAGACTCGTGGCCTGGGGTAAAGAACACCTGTCTTCCTGTGTCTAACTTCTCCCACTATCCTTCCTTCCTCTGGTTCCTTTGGCTTTCTTAACTCTCCAAATATTCCTTCACTCTCCTCCTTGTTCTTTTTCCGTGCCTTTCTTCTCCTGGCCTGCACCTCCTCTAGTTTAATCTCCAGGTTGTGAATGTCTTCAGTTATCTGGTTGACCCGATCAAAGCGAGACAGCAGAGCATTGACGCAGGGCAACAGGTTGTCCAGGTAAGGCTGGACTTCGAACCCAGGATCGGACACTGATGAGTCCTCAGACCGTATGGAGAGAGCTGAGGACAGGGGACGAGGCGATGAGAATGGGGAGAACAGAGAAGGAGAGCGGGAGGGAGGCAGCGTGGAAGACAAGGTGGAGAGATGAGAGTCCTGTGATGACCTAGAAGGAGGGATGTCCATGCCTTCAAACTTCACCCTGTGTCTGAACTAGAAGGAGGAAAGACAAGGTACGGCATGAACAAGATGAACTAACCATTAAGCTTTCCAACTAGTTGCACTGTTTACCTGTTTGGCCTTGGTGAGTCCCATCCACAGCTTGAGTCTCTTGATAAAGAACTCCACCATTTCATAGTCCTGAGGTTCAATGGCAGGATGAAATAACTCGGCCTGCTCTGCCCTTTAAGACAAGTATTGAAAAATTCCTTGATGATGCTTGGAGGAAACTTAACAATCCCACATTCAATACAAGATGCCATTTGCTGTTATAAAGCCATCTATCCCTAAACTATTCCCACATATCCTCGAGGGTCATGGGCAGACAGCTGAAGCTAATTTAAGCTGGCATTGACTGAGGGTTAAAGTCCTGGCTTGTTTTACACTTTGCATCCAAAATCAGATAGCAGAATGTTTCTTTTAGTTGGTTACAAAAATGCAGACTGATATCCATTAACAACTATTGGATGGGTTGCCATTAAATTTTCTACAAACTTTTTTGGTCCCCAGAGAATAAAGTGTTTGGCTCTTTGGTAAGTCCTTTAATCTTTGTGCCACCCTAAGATTGGTGTTTTTGTTTTTTGGTGAAAATATTTGCTGCCTAAATGATGAATCTTTCAAGTAGCATTGATAACAAGTCAAAACTTTTACAGCCAATGAAATATTCCAACATAAGGTTTGAAGTAAAGTTGTGATAGAAATTCATATTTGCCACATTTTAAAACTTTTTGGACCTTTGTAATTCCCAGATCTGGTTTTGGTTTCTCCTCTAGTGCCAATATCAAATTGACATTTATGATTTTAAATGAAATGTTTCCATAAATATTGGTTGGATTACACCCTGAAATTTGACTATGGATGTCCAGGTAGGTTGCAAAGTTAACACTTACCTTCAACCCATTACCCCCTCCACTAAGGAGATCCAGAGACTCAGTTGTGCTGTTGGAAATTTTGCTGGTATGGTTTGTTTTTTCAGTTGTTTCTAGAAGGAAGGTTCATTGCAAATGTCTTTCAGGTTGACAATGCCTTTATTAATGGGGCACGAGCGGTAGGTGAATGGTTTCATGATTAGAATCACATACTATAGCCTTAACAGTCAGCCAATCTCAACCAATTTAAACACTTATGGAAAACCTAGGACCAGATTGTTAGACTATCCATCCCTTCAGTTGAGTTGCAGAGACTTGGAGAGTCAATGCAAAAGCACACTGAAGCTGTTCTGGTGGCACGTGGTGGCCTAACACAGTCCTAAGAAATTTTATGTTGGTTTTTCATTCGATTTTTCGAAGGTCATGTTGTGTACCTGTATGCACGGATGAGGACAGCTCCACAGAGTCGGGCCATGAGCCAAACACCTCCGCCCATGAGTAGCAGCCCATAGAGAGGACCCAGGACTGGGTGGACCCTGCAGAGTCTTTGGAGAACCTTACGGCCACGCAGGACGGACAGCACTGAGACACTGGTCTGGTGTACAGACACAAAACCTTCCACTGACCTGGAAAAAAGCTAAAACGAACACACAACCATATGAAATGCCATTCCTCTTTCTGAATATTTGTGTCAGCTGAACTTGCCTTCTCTTACTGTGTTTCCAAGGTGAGTGCAGAGCAGCAGCAGCAGCAGCACTAGGACAGTCAGAGCCCACAGCTCCCTCCAGGCTCTCTGCAGCACTCTGCCTATCACCACCCACCTCCGCACAAACCTCAAGGTTCCCAGCAGCTGGAACACACAGCAATGGAAAGGAGCAGACATTCACTAAAGGTCTAAATGTGCGGGCCAATGTTGTTGTATTAATGATGGACCAGAGCTCTCATTTACCTTTAAAACCAGCAGAGTGAGCAAGACAGCTGCACACTGAGAAGACCTCCGTGCCAGAAGTGCTGCACCGTGGAAGTGGATGAAGCTGTCTGGGTGGGAACGCAGCTAAACGAGACATACAGATTATTTAAAGTTAAAGTTATTGTATTGCTGTGACAGAAATGATGCAGTGTTGTGGTAGGTAGTCACAGCAACTTTTCTTATTTCGCTCTTTACCTGGGAAACGCATGAAGAGGCAAGAGACAGGAAGCAGAGCTGCAGGATGGCTGTTGTCAGTGATAAGAAGGCCAGGAGGAGTTGCAACCAGTGATGGAGTTGACGCAGATACTGAGCACGTTCGGTTGCCATGGACCACAGCTCCCCAAAGAAGATGACGAGAGCAGAGATGAGAAGAAGAATCTGTGGAGTGAGTGAATTTAGGGGCTTGATGTGCATTGTTCTTGATATCTATTTATTGCAAAATAATTCTTTATTGAAAAGGGTTTGTTACCGTGAGCACCACCTGAAGGTCCAGTCCTGTGATGGATGAAGGGATGAGGAGTGGATGGATGAAGAGGAAGAGAGTGACCCCTTGTGTCCCGGCCCACTCCAGTTGCGTAGACACACAGATAAATAAACCAGACTCTCTGTGGTAGTGTGTGAAGTCTATAGAGAGAGTTTTAAACCTGTGTGCAAAATGGGGTGGAAACACAATTAGAGAAGCATCAAGCCAGAGTCAGTATTTGGAAAGCACATTTCAATTAGACAGTAATGCTTCTCAATGAATGTCAACTGAACATGGTAACGCATGAAGTTTAATAACAAGTATCATCCGTGTGTCTCAGCAAGTTTATATTTCATCATTGCAATGAAGGGTTAAAGTTATGCAAAAATCCAAAAATGATTTAGCATCCCAGACAAAATGTGCAAACTAGTTTATGGTAATCTACATGAGAAAATTATCAACTCTTATTGCTCCATTTGTTCTGAGAACAAAACAAAGCTGCAGTGTTCTGGTTTTTGGCAGGCTTTAATGGGGTGACACGCCTCATTATTTACAAAAGAGTAATTCAACAACGGAAGAATGAAAGTATTAATGAATACACATTCAGCACGTCTGGAAGATGCACTGATGTTGCTGTAACAAATCCACTTACTGCTCCTTGCTATCATCTGCCAGGCGCCATGTGTCAGCAAGGAGCTGGTGTGTTGTTACGCTGTTGTTTCCCAGAAGGCGGACTGCTGGGAAACCTCGTGTACGTGCGAACTGCAGCTGTGGTAACCCTACAAGGAGCAAGCTGGGGTTTTGATGGAGGTGTGGAACCAAGGTGTGACTGATCCACTGCTCTGCATCTGACCAGCTGGATGAAGAAAGAACAGGTATGAGTGTGTGTCTGTCTATACTGTAGAAAATATCAATAGCATAAACACACTTGTAATTTAATTTTACTCATCCCCACATCCTGCTGTTGAACAGTAAATACTCCTCTCCATCAAATGTGTGTTTATGTTTTTGGATGGGATGTAACTGTAAAAGTAA